ACGCAGCATGTCATTCCTACTAATACAACAAGTCTAGAGAGGTAGAATACAAGACAAATCAAATCCTCTAGTCTGACCACTGCTAAATAAGTAATTATTACAGAGATTACGTAGGAATCTGAGGTCTACCCATGGATTAACTGATACTTTCTTGTATATATTAATTGGGAAATGCAAAAGCTCGGTGCACGAGAAAATCTTGATAACTCATACTCGTATATATTTTGTTTTGTTTTTCGTGTGTTCGTTTTGTTTTTGCATATTTTATCATATTTTCTATTATTTGCATTGTTTTCATATGCTTGCTCTGTTCTCCTGACATTCAGAGCATGCGCAGAACACAATGTGATGTTTCTTTCATTTCATATAATTTCAGACAATAATGACCAAGCAGGGGGTCAGCGGTTTAATGCTATGGGATGCATCCTGGGATCAAAACAACGTCATCGACAATCGGATGTACAGTGAACATCTCAGAGACATACTCGATAAGACACCCACCCAGTGTCCGACAACTACTCAGCCACCGACCACTACCCAGCCACCGACCACTACCCAGCCGCCGACCACTACCCAGCCACCGACCACTACCCAGTCACCGACCACTACCCAGTCACCTACCACTACCCAGTCACCGACCACTACCCAGTCACCTACCACTACCCAGCCACCTACCACTACCCAGCCACCTACCACTACCCAGTCACCTACCACCACCCAGCCGCCTACCACTACCCAGCCACCGACCACTACCCAGTCACCTACCACCACCCAGCCGCCTACCACTACGCAAGCACCAACTCAACCTCCTAGTATACCAGGTAATAGCTTAATGTTTTTGTTTTATCGCGTTTTAAAAAAGGTTGTCTATGCAGAGCTGCGATTTAATGACCAAAAGTATTCCTGGTCAAAAATGGACAAATTTCACCCATTTACTAAAAAGTAATGAAAAACCAAACAAAACGTTACCAAAATCTTCATCTAATGAAAAAAAAAAAAACAGTATTGACGTTTTAATGGGTAAAAATTGCCACCAAGAATCAATACCTATAGTACCTTTCGGGGTGCAACCATCAATCCACCCGGACAACATTTTTAGGAGTGACAATGCCGCATAAATCGCAATAACGCGGTCAAAAAGTTAACATATATAAGACACAATTAAACAGTCAAATTAACATTATATTATGTTGMCTCTTTTCACAGCCAACTTCTGCCAAAATAACCAAGGAACGTACCACCGTCACCCAACAGATTGCACAAAGTTTATTATGTGTTCRCATAATATTTATTACGTTATGTCTTGCCCGGCAAATCTACGATTTAATGACAAAATTATGAACTGCGATTGGCCACAAAATGTTGAATGTTGAATGGTTGTCGAATTCTGGTTTTTAACAGTTATTTTCAAATAGTTGTTTTAAAAAAATTGCACATCCAATGAAGTCAAATCTTCMTTTTCAAAAGATTAGCTTGAACGAGAGGCATTTACTCGCAAAGGCTCTTTAATGAATATTTCTCGTAGACTATCTGCTGTTGTTTATAATAAGTACTTGCAACAAAGTAAGGAGTATTTAAACCTCGTTATTGCATTAAATATTTATATAAAGCAAACTTCATAATCTAGGAATCACAGGCAAATAGGGACTGCATGAAGTGAAAATAGCTTTTATCTCGTTATCTTTTATTTGCATTCAGTTTTTTCATGTAAAATTTTAGTGACTATTTGTAATAAGCAAGAATGTACGAATCTTTTCTAAATAAATGAAAGCATCTTGTTTGCATTATAAAACTAGCATCAATGAAATATAATGTCTGAACAAAGCTACGATGTGTGAGAAGAGGGAATGGTCCTAAGAAGCGAGCCTTATCAACTTTAACAACGGACAGCAACACGCACCAAGTATACCAATAGCCCAGAACAAAACCCCAACAATAAAYACTTTATCGATAATACTGGCAAGAAGTCCAGGTTGAATTCCAGGAAGAACATAGTACTGGTATTTCATTATTGCAAACATAGGAGTGATTATAAAGCACGTGTATAGAAACCCTGCAAAAAGCGACGTCGCAGCGCGTATTAAAAACAATTCACATTCATCAAGCCTGCTCCAGCGAAAAAATGATGAAACAGCTTTCCACATTGTTGCTAAGATAATCCCCATTGCCAGTACTGTAATCTTTGAATTGCTCGGAGCCATTAATTCCTCTACTCGGGCAGTGTGCAGGCAAGTAATGTCCATGGCGCATTCCCAGCATATCAACCCACTTGCACCACGTCGTAGTAAAAATAGCTGCGTTGCGATAACAGAGCATGGAATGTCTTGTAAAAAATTCGCAGCCAAAGTAAAAGCAACTTTACCTCGTACGAGTAATGTCCAATGTTCTTGTAGGAAATCAGGTATTAAGTACGAAAACACAATCGTAAAAACCCAAAGAAGAAAATGGAAGGTGAAGATAAGAGCTGATATGACTACAAATGCAGAATAGGCCTCTATCATCGCAGTGTAAGCCATTCTTGTGTCTGTAAGTTTCTGTGGGTCAAACGGTTCTTGAGAGCAGTATGAAGTTGGTTTACTTGTGTAGTTTTTGCGTTGAGGAATACCTGGGTCTAACTTGGCTATCTTATCGTATTTATCAGCATCRCTTGTAGCATCTCCGAGCACTGAAAACACTGCGTAGAGATTAAAACCTTGTAAAAATATAAAGATTATAAACTCGGCGAAGACTCCCTTATTGAAGCCTGTTGGAACCACATTAGCCTTCTTATCCGCTGCCTTACGGGCCATTATTGCCGTTTTCCCCTGATAATGGAGTAAATATACAAATCAAAGTATAAAACTTGAGACTCAGGTGGATATCACCACACATTAACCTCAAAACTACCAACGATTAGTGGGAATTCACGATATAGCAGGTTAGGCCTGGAAACCTTCCAAGAAAAATAACCGAGCTCAATGTATTATTTCAAGATTATCTCCTAGAATAAAGTAAAAGAAATTAAGTAAATGACAATAGACTAATATAGGATAGTACTTTCGTTGTTATTGTTGTTGTCGTTGTTGTTATCTTGTTATTATTTTACCATATTTCACGGTTTATTAGATGTAATATGTACTATTTAACGTCAATGTTATCTTTTGTGTCTATTTGATTATTACATGTTTGTTATTTAATGATAGAGAACTAAAAAGACTAGACCATAAACCAAATAATCATTGAAAAGTAGAAGAAATAGACCTTTCTTCAAAATGGCCGCCACTCATTAGCATCTTTTTATTTATATTTTTTTCAACCACCTTAGACAAAATGATCCCTGAAATATTAAAATATATGCTTCTCTTGGAAGCTGTACAAAAGCCCGCCTAGTCAGCTCCAATAAGTATCCGTGAAGATATATATTTTTAAAACTGTATATTTTATAGCTAAATGTCTGAAAAATAAATGTCTGTAAAATAAGATTTAAGTACAGCCCCAGGGACGATTAACTCCTAGTCCCCCTCGACCTCTAATTGTTGTTAAATATAGCATATGTGATAGGAATAGCGAGTATTTTAATATCATTGAAGTAAAAAACCATTGGAAACGAGTTCAATTATAGACTTGAAACACAACTATAACTCACTACGTGGTCTCCATTAAATTTACAAAAACGCCATGAACACTGCTGAAAGAACGCAAAGTAAAAAGATAAAAAAAACAAAAGCATATACTTGAATTAAGTGATACCTCCTTCAATTCCATTTTGGAAAGTATTATTATATATTTTTGTTGTCTAGTTTAGGTTTTTTTCAACTGGCAGCACTTGAACACTTTCCTTTGAAATATGTAAATTGTTTTTATAACCATAGCAGGTACCACGACAGAAGACAATCTTTTGAGTTTGAATTTTTAAACAGTTTTCGCACTTCTTGAAGTACATTTGTACTGAGGAGCTGGATCACGATTACTCGTTCCAGAACACAGCATCATACATGGTACAGTAACAGTRACATTGTTCTGGAATCATAGCGACATTCTAATACTAATTCYAGGTGAGTGTGGTTGTTTTATTGGAACGATAGCTTAAGCTGTGGTAACCTCCTTTTAGATATCACGAATTTAGCTGTCGAGAAATATCGCTTATTGACTAAGAAGGCAATTGATTCCTCTTACTTTTGAGATGTCTATCCTGTGATTATCAAATAAATGAAAGAGTGTCTTATGGCTGGTTAAAAATATACAGTGTTTGCGTACACTGTCAGATGCAATTTGCTGAAGCTTGACAGTTCTTGAAATAGACTAAAATACATCACGCCTCGAAAAAAAGGTTATCAAAAGAGAGTAAAAAATGAAGATGATCTCGAGAGTAAAATTGAAATAGTGCAGATTTCAAAAGTCGGTTGTAGGCAAAAAGAATGTAAATTGAGATGTAATATTGCAATAGGCAGTAGTGTAGTGAAGGGAATTGTTTGATCCAACTTTATTAGAAATATATCAAATATATATCATTTATTCTAATACATACGTTAACATGTATCACAACTAGAAAAAAGTTCATGACCAAAAATAATGTTATGAAAARTGATTGAAAGGAAAATGAGATTAAATAAGAGAAACTAGCTGAGATAATTCTTCCTAATCTAAGATGCTCATTATTAATTCACCGGTGGTTTTACCGATGTACTTAACTCCTCTTGTTTTCAACTGTTTGTTCTTTATTTAGTTCTAAACATGGCTGCCGAAGACGACAGTAGCAGCGTCAACGAGGATTTRGATGAAMATCTCAACTTCCAAGAACTCATAGAACATGTGGCGAACATTTCAACAAAGATTCGACGAAAGAAGGAAAATCTGGAAGAATTTGTATCGTCTATGAACAATGAGAACTCGGTCAACAAGACGGTTCTCAAACGTTTTCAAGCGATTGAAGATGATTTTAAAGAGGGAAGRAAAACAAAATCCGAGTTGAAGGATTTGCAAAAGAAACTAAGCGAGAGAATCAAGGAAGTGAATGAAAAACTGSAACGAATTCAAAATGCTTTGGAATACATCACAAGTAAAGAACTTCAGATTAAAGATCTTCATGAAGAGATATCAAATCTGTCCGAAAAGCAAGACGAGCTCGTCAAAGTCAAATATGAAATTCAGTCTCTTTTCAGTGAAATCAAAATAAAATTTCGTGAAAGCAAAAAGGTGAAACTATCTCTACTCACGAAGTTTAAACCCGATGAYCTTATTCAGTCAGTCAAGTCGTGGGAGAAAGCAGCGGAAACTGCCAGGGAAATYAATCGGAAGGTAGCTGAACTCCAAAAAGAAATCGAAGAAAGATCCACTGCTATGGGTAAACTAGAGAAAGAATTACAAGAAGAAAGAAAGAAATCAAATCAGCATGAAGACGATTTGTTACGACTTGTTGAYGACATGAAGAACGAAGAAGACAGCAAGAAGGAACAGTCTGGMTTGATCAACAACTTTCGGTCTCTTCTCGATGAGAGTGAGAAAYTAGCTCGCAATCTTGAAGCACAGAACAAGAACTTGAATCAAATCATTGGTGATGAAAAGGAGCGAGTCACTGACTTGAGAAACAAACTAACCGAACTACAAGAACAAATTGACAACGAACACAAAAGAAACCGAGAAATGAGCCTACAGCACGAGCACATGAGAGCTGGATTTCTTGCAGCAACAGCAGAAAACGAAGGATACGCACGTGACATGGCGGCCATTAGAAAAGAACTTGATGGTTTGAGAGAGCAGTTTAATGTGGTATTAACTTTACAGAAAAGCAAAGAGGTTAAGCGAAAAGAAGAACACAACAAGATGTCTTTGGAAAGATTTGAAGAGTCTGAAGATGATGAACCATCAGGGGAGTCATTCAAAATTGAAGAATTGGAAGAGAAGCTAGAAATCAGCGATAAGATGCTACATGCCAAGTATTTAGAGACCGAAACCCTTCAAACAGACTTGGACAGAACCTCAGAGCGTGTAACAGAGCTAGAGACGAAAGTTACAGTCATGAACGAAAGCGTCTCCAAAATGACAGAAAAGGTAGACGTCAGAGACAGAGAGGTTGCGCAGTTGACTGAGCTTCTAAAAGACACACAAGCAGCATTAGAATCTGAGAAACTTGCTAAAGATGAATACATCATCAAGTGTGAGCTGCTAGAACGAAAACTTGCTCTGATGGAAATGGAAGGAAGTGATGAAAGAGATGGAAGACTTAGCACAGATGATATGGAAAAGGAAATCGAAGATTTGAGAGAAAAGCTTGAAGAAGAAAGGCTAAAGGTTGCTGATAAAATAGCCCTGGTGGAAGAGCTTGAAGTGCAACTCGTCGCGTCTGAGGAGTTGAGAGAATAYGAAGAAGACATTAAAACRCGATCGATCGAAAATATCGTCCAGGCAGAAATGGAAAATAGGAAATTGAAGCAGATAGTCGAGGAGCTAAGAGAAAAACTGTCTGAAAAGGACAGCGGAATTGAGGAGCTGATCGCCCACTGTGCTGTAGAAGAACTAAAACTACGAGAGGAAATCGCTGGATTAACCAATCAACTTCAAGTGTACAAACGAGACTGTGTCTATAAAGCAAACATCATTGAACGACTTAGAAGAAAAATAGAGTCGCAACGAACTGGACTCGGAATTTTGAACGAAGAAGACGAGGAAGARTCGGAGGCTGACCTTYTAGTMAGGACAGCAGCTTTGGAGCGAAAACTRCACGAAGAAAGATTAAAGATAGAGAAGTACGAAGGAGCACTGATTGCTCTGAACAAGCAATGCGAGGAGAACGAAGACACTATTCGCGACAAAGACTACGAGCTATCTAGAAAATCAGCCGAGGATGGAAAACGCATAGCAGAGCTCTTACAAGAACTTGAGTCCGATAAGAAGAGTATTATGGAACTCGATGAACAGATAGAGAACCTCGAAGACATTCTCTCTTTGAAGGAAGCGATAGAAAAGTTAGAAGATGAATCAGAGGAAGGAGATCGTGCTCAGATGGAGAAGGAATTACAAGATATGAAAGAGGACTACGCMTTCAAAAAGWTAAGACGCCGAGATGATCTGATCCAGGAAATGAGAACCTTCATTGAGGAATTAAGAACCCAATTGAAAACMGAACAAGARCGTTTACGAAAGAACGAAGACTTGATCGCTGATCTAAACGACTCCAGCGTACAAGACYTGAAGAAGATCGACAAGTTAACAAAAAAGATAGCTAAGTTAGAAGAGGAAACAACATCCCAGAAGGAATACATTGAAAAGTTAACTCAGAAAATCACTGAAGGACAAAGACTGATTGCTCAGCTTGAAGGTGTAGCTGATAGAGAACGAATGCGAGTTGCAACAATTGARCAATTATTACAGCAAGAAAAGCAGGACTATTCTAAGCATTTAGTTGGCGTTGAAGATTTGAAACAAAAGGTAGACGATTACCAGACCAACGTTAGCGAAATAAGAGAAAAAGTGGAACGCATTAACAAGAACATTGCAATTTCTCCCCGCGACGAGTATGGTTCTTCCACYGCGWCACATCTTGAAGACAAACTGAAGGCACAGAAGAACATWATCAAAGAATTGAGGGCAAAYGTGAGTGCAGTTGAAGAGAAAAGTCAAGAGCTTGGTGCTGAGTTGAGAGATCAAAAAGGCAAAAACGTCGAACAAGATGAAAAGATAGACAGCCTCTTGAAAAAGACTCTTGAATGCGAAGACTTGGTAGAATTCATGAAACGTGAACTAGAACTCGTTAGAAAACGTTACAGAGGACTAAGTGGTCTTCCAGAGGAAGARACRCCAGACAAATTAATTGCAGAAGAAGAGATTCGTGAAGAGAGACAACCTCAGTTTGAGGCTGCTCCAYTATTCGGGTATTTCGACGATGAAAAAGAACACGACGGAGACGACGAAGAGGAAGAAAGTGAATCAGACGCCTTTTACTCWTGCGAGGACCAAGACGATAAAACTCGCCAATCTACGGAAAGYAAGGAAACCAGACAACGTGAGATCATCCGCCAACTTCTCGTATTTGAAAAGGTATTCGAGAAAATCTTTTCCGAAGAAGGTAATCGAATCGATATTGTGATTAAGAAGTTTGAAAGAGTAATGGAGAAGAACACCGAACTTATAACAAGTCTTCAAAATGTACGACAAACTCTAAATGAGGCAAGAAAAGAAAGTGAACGTAAAGAGGAACAGATTGAGCAAATGAAAGAAGAATTCTTGAGCATCAAAGAAGAGCTTGATGAAACTAAGTCGACTAATGAGAGGATCAGGAATGTCCTTGAAGAGGAAGGAGAAAGAGCCATGACCCTTAGCGGTATGCTCACTGACGAACAGGTTAAAGGCATCGCYGCCGAAGAAAAAGCCACCATAATGCAAAAACTTCTAGAAGACCAGCAACAGAAGATCGATGCCTTGGAAGCTAAACTGTCAGAAGAAATACTTCGCGTGAACCAATTGAAAGAAAGTCTCTCAGTTGAGCAGCTCATTAAGATAGAGTACGAGCGGGAGATTGAAGTCCTGAAATCTAAAGTTTTGGAGGAGCAAGAGTCTTCTGAGTTTCTACGTGAGGAACTTGAGCGAGAAACCAACACAAAGTTTGAATTTGATGGTAGGATAAGAGAAATTGAAGAAGAAGCCTCAAACAGGGCGACAATCATCGACGAGCTCCAGAAAGATTTGGAAACTGAACGAAAATGTTACAGTATTGTCACAGAACGCCTTCAAGTAGAGCAGGAAARACTCRTCGAGCTTGAAAAATATGTAAAAGACGCTGAAGAAAGTGCCACACACGATAAGTCTTTGCTAGAGGAACTGAGGGAAAACATATCTCTGCAGGAGCGGCAGAAAAATGACTTCATCGAGAAGCTCCAGAAATTTGAAAAAGAAAGTAGTGAAAAAGACGAAGAGATTGGTAGTCTTGTGGATCAGCTTGGAGCCGARAGAAACAGAATGGAAGAGCTAATTGGTGAGATCGATTTGGAGAAAATGGGTAAAACAACAGCTGAGTCGAAGCTCAAGGAATTAGAGGAATATCTTAGCAAAGATGAACAGATATTCGAGGAACTAAGGCGGAAYATTGATTCTGAAAGCGCTAAAAATCGCGAGCTTTCTGACTTGCTTGATCAAGAACAAGAGAGAAATGCAGAATTAGAAGAAAAGGCCAAAGAACTCGAAAAGCAGGTCCTTATGGATTT